CTCGCCCAGCTTGGTGGTCAGTGGCAGTGCTGTTTAAAACCTCTGTTCGTCGTCAGTGGTAATGTTTACTTACAGGCCCAATGCAGAGAGCATCCCAGCACCTTGCATCCTGATGACACTCTGCCTCATTATAGTGCCAGTTGCAGAAAGTCAGAGATTGTCCCAACAGGTGATAGTTCCTGCACAGGAAGTGGCGAGCAGCATAGAGAGAGTCAGCAGGCCACATGTGGCCCTTGTGCCAGGTGTCGGGCACCAGAGTTCGACTGCCTATGAGTGGGTGTTAAGAGGGCAGGTGTTTGCTCAAAATGAAAAAAAAATGGTTATCTGTTCTTTATATATACAGACAATATAACTAAATTACACACAAATTGTGCGGTAGGTATCAACATACATTAATTTGTACAGATCTTTACCAGCACAGAACTGCGGGCAAAGAATTCACTGATATTCAAGATAAGAAACAATGGCTGTTGTAATGGGTCAAGGAAATGCGGCCATTACCGTGGGGCCATTATTTTAAATGTCTGGAATGTATACACATTTCCCCATGATTTATCCATTTGAAGAAGCTGCAAGTACACAAAATATAACTATTGATCTGCCAGAAATATAGTATGTTTTTCTTCCTTTCCCCTTTCCTTTCCGCCTTTCCAACACCGCTCTAAATTCCTAAGCATGTGTTGTCAGCCCTGCTTAGTTATATGATTGTAAAAAACGCATACCTTTCCTCGTCTCCATATTTTTACTCAAATTAGTTAATGCAAAAATTAATACACACCACAACAAAAACTACTCCATCTAGTATTTTGTATGACCTCCAAGATTTGTAAGGACAGCACCAAGGCATGAAATTAACAAGTTGGCGACATATTGCAACATCAATCTTTTTCCATTCTTCAAGAAGACCTCTTTTGTTAGAGCCTGGTTGCTGGATGGAGAGTTATGCTCAACTTGTTTCTTCAGACTTCCCCATAGGTTATTCAGTTGGGTTCAGATCAGGAGACATACTTGGCCACTGAATCACTTTCACCCTGTTCTTCTTCAGAAATGCAACAGTGGCCTTAGATTTGTGCTTGGGATCATTGTCATGTTGGAAAAGTGCACGACAACCAAGGGCACGGAGTGATGGTAGCATCTTCTCTTTCAATATAGAGCAGTACATCTGTGAATTCATGATACCATCAATGAAATGCAGCTCCCCAACACCAGCAGCACTCGTGCAGCCCCACAGAAGGACACTGGCACCACCATGTTTTATTGTAGGCAGCATGCATTTTTCTTTGTACTCCTCACCTTTGCGACGCCATACAGTTTTTTAAGCCATCAGCATTTACCTTGGTCTCCTCATTCCAGAGTACAGCATTCCAGTAGTCTTCTTCTTTTTCAACATGGGCCCTGGCAAATTCTAGGCAGGCTTTTTTGTGCATGGGCTTTAGAAAAGGCTTCTTTTGTAGATGACACCCATGCATGCCATTTTCTCTGCAGTGTACACCATATTGTGTCATAGGAAACAATCACCCCAGTTTTGCTTTCTACTTCTTTAGCTAATGGCAGTGAACTTGCATGGTGATTTTTCTTCTATAGTGCTGGGCAGTGAGCACAGGGCCCACTAGAGGACGTCGGGCCCACAGGCCACCCTCATGAAGTCTGTTTCTGATTTTTTTGGTCAGAGACATTCACACCAGTGGCCTGCTGGAGGTCATTTTGTGGGGCTTTGGTAATGCTCATCCTGTTCTTCCTTTGCACAAAGGAGCAGATACCAGTCCTGCTGATGGGTTAAGGACCTTCTACGGCCCCGACCAGCTCTACTAGAGTAACTGCCTATCTCTTGGAATCTCCTCCATGCTTTTGAGACTGTGCTGGGAGACACAGCACACCTTCTGACAATGGCATGTATTGATGTGCCATCTTGGAGGAGTTGGACTGCCTGTGCAACCTCTGTAGGGTCCAGGTATCACCTCATGCTACCAGTAGTGACACTGACCCTAGCCAAATGCAAAACTACTGAAAAACAGTCAGAAAGGTGAGTAGGGAAACAAAATGTCAGTGGCCTGCATCTGTAAAACCATTCCTGTTTTGGGGGTTGTCTCATGGTTGCCCTTCTAGTGCACCTGTTGCTAATTAACACCAAAGCAGCTAAAACTGATTAACAACCCCCTCTGCTACTTAACTGACCGGATCAATAGCCCAGGAGTTTAATTGTCTTGATGCTATACTCTGATTAAAAATGTGTTCCTTTAATTTTTTTGGAGCAGTGTGTATGTACAGTGGATATAAAAAGTCTACAAACCCCTTTTTAAATGTCAGGTTTCTGTGATGTAAAAAAAATGAGAAAAATAAATAATTTCAGAACTTTTTCCACATTTAATGTGACCTATAAACTGTACAACTCAGTTGAGCAACAAACTGAAATCTTTTAGGCGAAGGGAAGTAAAAATAAAAAACTAAAATAATATAGTTGCATAAGTGTGCACACCCTTAAACTAATACTTTGTTGAAGCACCTTTTGATTTTATTACAGCACTCAGTCCTTTTGGGTATGAGTCTATCAGCATGGCACATCTTGACTTGGCAATATTTGCCCACTCTCTTCCCTGCAAAAACACTCCAAATCTGTCAGATTGTGAGGTCATCTCCTGTGCACAGGCGTCTTCAGATCACCCCACAGATTTCCGATGGGATTCAGGTCTGGGCTCTGGCTTGGCCATTCCTAAACTTGAATCCTCTTCTGGTGAAGCCATTCGTTTGTTGATTTGGATGTATGCTTTGGGTCATTGTCATGCTGAAAGATGACGTTCCTCTTCATGTTCAGCTTTCTAGCAGAAGCCTGAAGGTTTTGTGCCAATATTGACTGGTATTTGGAACTGTTCATAACTCCCTCTACCTTGACTAAGGCCCCAGTTCCAGCTGAAGAAAAACAGCCCAAAAGCATGATGCTGCCACCACCATGCTTCACTGTGGGTATGGTGTTCTTTTGGTGATATGCAGTGTTGTTTTTGTACCAAACATATCTTTTGGAATTATGGTCAAAAAGTTCCATCTTGGTTTCATCAGACCATAACACATTTTCCCACATGCTTTTGGGAGACTTCAGATGTGTTTTTTTTGCAAAATTTAGCCGGGCTTGGATGTTTTCTTCGTAAGAAAAGGCTTCCGTCTTGCCACTCTACCCCATAGCCCAGACATATGAAGAATATGGGAGATTGTTGTCACATGTATCACACAGCCAGTACTTGCCAGATATTCCTGCAACTCCTATAATATGTTGCTATAGGCCTCTTGGCAGCCTCCCAGACCAGTTTTTGTCTCGTCTTTTCTTCACTTTTGGAGGGACTTCCAGTTCTTGGTAATGTCACTGTTGCGCCATATTTTCGCCACTTGATGATGACTGCACTGTGTTTCATGATATATGTAATGCCTTGGAAATTCTTTTGTACCCTTCTCCTGACTGATACCTTTTTAACAATGAGATCTCTTTGATGCTTTGGAAGCTCTCTGTGGACCATGGCGTTTGCTGTAGGATATGACTAAGAAAATGTCATGAAAGACCTACTAAAACAGCTGAACTTTATTTGGGGTTAATCAGAGGCACTTTAAATGATAGCAGGTGTGTACTGACTCCTATTTAACATGATTTTGAATGTGATTGCTTAATTCTGAACACAGCTACATCCCCAGTTATAAGAGGGTGTGCACACTTATGCAACCACATTATTTTAATTTTTTGGTTTCCTTACCCCCCCCCCCAAAAGATTTCAGTTTGTTTTTCAATTGAGTTGTACAGTTTATAGGTCAACATTAAAGGTGGAAAAAGTTCTGAACTGATTTATCTTTGTCTCAGAGTGTGTGTGTACATGTTTCTAACATGCCATTTACATGTGTATGCAGTACATGTAAACCACCTTACAAGCTATACTTGTAAGCGTTATGACATTATCTCATTCACCTTCTTATAATTTCCAAACCTATATCCTTTAAAAGATATATAGAATCTGAATGACTTCTGTAGAATAACAAAGTTCTACTTTTTCACATTTTGGAAAATGCAGCCTATTGTCTGACACACAAGTGGGATGCGACAATATCACAAATGTTATTCCTTATACCAATTTTCCAGTGCTTGTTATGCTTCATCCCATATATTATATCCTATTATATTTCACTACTATGTGGCTTGTTTTTTGTTGTTTTTTTTTTTTTTTATTCCAGTTTGAGAGCCAAACGCTAACTATCCTAGAAGCTGGCTGTGGTGTGGGTAACTGTTTGTTTCCTCTCCTAGAAGAGGATCCACGTCTGTTTGTATATGCTTGCGACTTTTCTCCTAGAGCTGTGCAGTTTGTGAAGGTATGTATTCATGGTATTTCCCAGTATTGTTTGTTCTAATAGTCTTGTTGCTATTCTTTATTTAGAACAGGGCTGTCCAGCCCATGGGCCACATGCGGCCCAAGAGTGTTGAGCAATGTGACCTGGGAAATGCCTGGAGGGATGCTATGCATATATAGCAGCCATGGCTCCCATCATGGACAAATTAGGCCCATTCATGTCTCATGTGATGCCATGTGTGTAATAGCAGCCGCAGGCAGCATTGAATGCAGGGACTCTTTATAGGGCCAGGCAAGTAAATGCAGCATGGCTGGGTCTAGGGGGGTGCTGGGATGGGCCCCACAACTTTCCCTCTACCTCCCCACATAGCAGGTACATAGTTGAAATCCAATCCCCTTTATCTATATCATTTTATTTTTTAATTCTAGCATGGCTTCCACATCACAAATCAAGAAAAGTTGCAGATGAAGGAAAATTATTCAAGGAAAATTGAACAGTGAACCACTATTTGTCAAGGCAAATGTTAAGGCACTGTGCTTAATTTGTAGGGAATTTGTGGCAGTTTTAGACTACCATTTGAAAAGGCATTACCGTATTTTTCACTCCATAAGACGCACCTGACCATAAGACGCATCTAGGTTTTAGAGGCAGAAAACAAGAAAAAAAATATTCTGAACCAATGGACTGCGGACACAGTACAGGGGATGACCAGAGACTGCGGACACAGTACAGGGGATGACCAGAGACTGCGGACACAGTACAGGGGATGACCAGAGACTGCGGACACAGTACAGGGGATGACCAGAGACTGCGGACACAGTACAGTACAGACTGCGGGGATGACCAGAGACTGCGGACACAGTACAGGGGATGACCAGAGACTGCGGACACAGTACAGGGGATGACCAGAGACTGCGGACACAGTACAGGGGATGACCAGAGACTGCGGACACAGTACAGGGGATGACCAGAGACTGCGGACATAGTAACAGGGATGACCAGAGACTGCGGACAGTACAGGGGATGACCAGAAACTGCGGACAGTACAGGGGATGACCAGAGACTGCGGACAGTACAGGAGATGACTAAGAGACTGCTGACCTTTGGGGAGGGAGGGGGAGCGGGTACCTGAATTTGACAGGTACCCGCTCCCACTTCCGCTGAGTTGTCCTCCCTTTAGTGTGGGCACCCGGCTGACAGCCGGGTGCCCAGTGCGCATGCGTGAGAAGCGCTGTGCTTTGTGATTGGTCCGACGCCTTCTGGGACCTGTCATGTGTCCCAGAAGAGACGCGGTATCATTCACAAAGTGCAGCGCTTCTCGCGCATTCGCACTGGGCACCCGGCTGTCAAGCTGAGATCCTACACTAAAAAAGCCGGCGCAGGAAGACTGCACAGCGCTGGACCGAGGAACAGGTAAGGTCCTGCTGCAGAGCTGAGCGACCGGCCCGGTATTCTGACACGGCAGCAGTGGAAATACCGGACCGGCCGCTCCATATTCGCTCCATAAGACGCACTGACGTTTTCCCCCCTTTTTTGGGGGGAAAAAAGTGCGTCTTATGGAGCGAAAAATACGGTATATGCAAAAACATGCAGACAAGTTTGAGGCATATCAAGGAATGTGTCCTAAGGACAAAATGACGATAGGTACAATATCAATATCCGTAATCGTTAACATGTGATATGCCCGATTTTTCTGCTCTTCAGCTATCCTTATTGTTAGTGTATTTTATGTGCAGACCAAGACTATTGCTCTTCTTCCAATGTGCCCCAGGAAGGTCAAAAGGTTGGACATCCCTGGTTTAGAAGAAACTCTGTTGCATGTTAACAGCTTGAGTCAGCATCTTCGTGATTTTGGCCTACCAATAATGTGGAAAACTGTGTGTGTGTGTGTGGTGTATGTACTCTCACACATCTCAGAAAGTGTCAGCAGATGCCACTTTAGCTTTTTACAAGTTTCACAAGTAGTTCTGCACTGATTGCACTGCATATTAATCTAGTACCTACCAATGTAGCTTACAATGATTCTTACACTTCATTTGTTTAATTGCAACTCAAATAACTTTGCATTGTTGCCTTTGAATAAAAAGGATGATAAGTGTAATTTACCTAATATTCTCACCCCAAAGTACCAAACCCAATCTCTTATTTTAGAAAGTTTGCAGGACCTCCTTTTTTTTTTTTTTTTTTCAAAACTCCGTAAACTGTATTGCTGGCTTGACACCAGATGGGGAGGAACTTTCAATGCCGGGGTGGTAGAAGAATGTCCAAGGCCCAGGGTGTGAGCCAAGCCACCAAAACCCAAGGCAAATGAAACCGTGAAGATCAATACTGTTTAGAAACTACATTCTTCTTTCTTGCTTGCATTGCCCTTTTTTAAATTTTCTGCTGCATGCATTTCCAGAAGGTAAAAATATCCATGTTAGAACAAACATGTTCATTCAGACTTTGCACATGTTTTTTTAAGATATAGTCTCTCTTGTATTCTTAGCAAAATCCATATTACAATACAAATACCTGCAAAGCCTTCCAGTGTGATCTGACCAAGGACAATTTAACAGAGAACATACCTGCAGAAAGTGTGGATGTCGCCACCTTAGTCTTTGTCCTATCTGCTGTCCATCCAGATAAAATGCATCTTGCTATTGGCAATATTTACAAGGTATATTGTATTTTTAAAATATGCAACGTCTTAAAATGTCATGTACACTTTTGTATACATCCAAACTAAGGAACATTCTTCTTGCAGGTGCTGAAACCAGGTGGCTGTGTTTTGTTCAGGGACTATGGGATGCATGATCATGCCATGATACGCTTCAAACCAGAAAGTAAGCTTGCGGAAAACTTCTATGTAAGACAAGATGGGACGCGATCTTACTTTTTCACAACAGGTGAACCATCTATTTATTTAGGGTTTTAATGCTACCCTATTAGTAAAATGCATCCATGATCCATCCATCCATCAAGTTCTATTAGTGTAAAGACCTCAGTCTCTGTTAATGCATGGAACTCTATTCCTAAAACTGGCCATAGATGGTTTGAATCTCAGTTCAGCAGGAACCGGCCAAGATTCGAACCCTGTATGGGCAGGCTGAATGTACCCAAGTTTATCAATCGATCATCTTGTATTCAAGCAGCCTGCCGGATTTTACATGTGATTATAGCTAAAGGCTGGTAAAGCTGCTAGAAATAATCACTGTTTTCTCCCAGTGGGGACTGCTTCCCCCACCCCCCGCACTCACCAGAAGAATACAATAGCTTGGCAGGAGGGATTCCCCTGTCAACATTCTGTGGTGCAAGAAAAAAAAAAATGTGCTCCGTGTACAGCCTGCCTAAGAGAGAAGTATACTTCAGCTCTCATGATCCAGACAGATACATTAGGGATAGGTTCTCTATAGCCATGCCTGCAGTGAGTCCACTGCTGATCTGCAGACTGTCTGTATCCGCCACCTAGATACAGGTCTGATTGATTTGGTGTCCCTGATATAGAGAGAACATAGAGAGCCTCTATATGTTGAGATATATTTTATATATGTAATGTGCAAATGTTATCAGTGCAGACATGCTTGTAATTTTAATTGAAATGAATCTCAAGTAACCATACTGATTAAATAGGAATGCATGTAAAATATAAATGTAAATAAGGCATTTAAAGGTTAGAGATGTAATAGGGAACATAAGAACATATAGTTTGCTCTAAGCTGAGTTTTGTGCAGAAGCCATTAGCACAAGAAATAGTTTCTACCACCTTAATACTGATCTCCAGGCAGACAGCTAAATACATATGAGAGCGGCTTTTACTAACAGTTCTGCCACACAACACAGCCCTGTCTGACAAGGAAGGGGACCTGATCTTTCTCTGCTCTAGTTTTACTTTCACTTACATGTTTCTTTACCACCCTAACCCTACAAGTGGACAGGGAAATCAGAAGCAGCAGTCTTTTTTTTTTTTTTTTGTTTCCATATTAAATTTTAATTAAAGGAAAATGACAAAAGCATACAAGATTGCATACAAGCACATCCAAATAAACAACCCAATCTAGGGTCTTAACATAGAGAAGCAACAGACTTATGAGCAAATCTTTCTGACACTCTGCTCCTTCCTCTTGTCAGCATGCTGTTTGCACTGTAGAACACACGGCTGGCTACTTGTGCTGCTTTTTCCTTCCTCGGGGTAAGCTGTGATGCACAGTAGGCTGCAAGAGGGTTAATTCAAGAGAAAAAAATTAGTTGCTTACACTGCTGAAATTAAAGAAGAAAAAAATAGCCTTGATTACTGATACTGTACTTTGTGTACTTTATATCTGCCTGGAGTTTAGCCGTAATTAATTATTTCCTTTTTCTACAGAGTATTTGCAGTGTCTCTTTACAACAGCGGGGTATAAAGAAGTTTCCAATGAGTATGTCCTACGAGAGACTGTGAACAAGAAAGAGGGCCTATGTGTACCAAGAGTCTTTGTTCAGAGCAAATTTTATAAACCTCTGCAGATGCTTTAAGTTTATTTGCATGTGGCTTTTAATCCTTGATTTATAAAATGATTTTTTATAAATATATAAATATTTTTTTATTTTATTCAAAAATTATTAAATGAATGTATTATTTACTGAACCGTGTCCTGAAGTGTACCACGTTGTATATTTAATATTTTATAATAAAATTGTTTTGTTCTTATTAACAGACAATTAGCAATCAACAGTTAAGGCCAAAACATGACTGGTTCATGGATCTGAGTACATTCTTATCTAATTTAGTCGTTGAGTTTTGCTGACACCCCAGCATGTTTGGTAGTAATTTGATATATAGATGGACAAATATAGCCATGTTTATCTCCGTTTTAAAGCGGTTCTTTGGTACCCTGTGTGAAAATTAAAAGTCAGCAGCTACAAAAACGTAAGCTGTTGATATTTAAAAAAACAGCCACTCACCTGGCCAGGGTTCTGGTGCTGCTCTCTTTGGTCCCCAGCTTAATTGTGGGCAGCCAACTGTGACTCTTTTGGGGTTTCACAGCTGGCTGACCACTGCTAATGAGCGATCTGCACTGAGCCTTGTGAAAGGTCAAGATGCCTCTTTGGACTTGTGACATGTCTCAAAAGGCTGCGGGGAGATGAGGGGGGATCATACCTCTACTCCAATCGCCTAGGTGGTCAGAGTGGGAGTTGGGCACCTGTCAAAACCAGGTACTTGATTTCCCCCTCCCCCCCCCCCCCCAAAAAAAATGCCAATTTTGACAGAGGAGGGAGAGAAACAGCAGAAATTCCCCTTTTGGGTGAAGTTCCTCTTTAACTACTTGTGGCTTATGCTTATAATTATCTATTTGTAGAATAAATGAAGTCAAACTCCTACAAAAGATCCTTAAGAGTTTATTTATAAATGCTGTCACACAAGATTCACATAACTCTTCCAGGAATTGCATTTTCTTCAGCAGAATCTAATAAAGTTTGAATGTTGGGTGAAACCCTTTTATAAATAGACCTCATTTAAAAAAAAAAAAAAAAAAAAAAAGTGTCATACAGTTAAAGCCAAATTTTACTTAAAACAAAAAAAAAAAAAAAAATCAGCCCTAAGCCTATTTCACACTGGCTTTGAAAGCAGGCATTTGAGGGGCATTTTTAATGCTCCTCAAATACCTATGCAAATGATACTAGCACATAATGTGAACAGCACTATCAAAACATTAAGCGTTAGCGTCACAAAGCTTCAAAATTGAAGCCTCATGTCGAGTCAGGAGGAGTTTGAAGCCTTTCAACGCCTCACATTCAAGTCTACGGTGACGCTCCTCAATCGCCCTGGCAGGCGTTTGTGTGACGTTTTGCAGTGTGGTTGCAACGCGTTAATTTTCATTGGTTTATTATAGGCATTTGTGGTGCAGTTTTAAAGCTTGTACAATGCTTATAAAATACCTCAAAACCGCACATAGGGCATTTAGGGAGCATTTTTAATGCTTGTAAAACACCCATACTAAAGCTCATTAATGCCTGTCTAATGCTATAGGGGCGTTTTTGAAGAGTTAGAAATGTAGTCAAGTGTGAACAAGCCCTTAGTCAGTTCATTACAGTGATTTATGTCCCATGTTCTGCAGACAGCTGAATCCTGGAGAAATCTTCACTGCATGG